AAACACTCATCTTTATCAAATTATATGCTTCTATCTCTTCAATCCGCACCTTAAATATTCCCTTTTCCAGACAAAAAAATGATTTGGACTAGAAGTTCTAACATTTTCTTCTCGCGCCCAGCGGGGCCCCCACTTGGGCAATGAAGCTATGCAGAGACCTCTCCCCGCTGCCCTGAGCTCAGGGTGCATGGGGAGCTGGGACACTGGGGCCCTGGCTGAAAGGCGGCAGGCCCCAGCGCAGCCTGGCTACATGTGGCACTGACTCTGGGCAGCTGGCACTTCCTGGATGACCCAGAGTTCTCTAGAGGTGGGAACGGAAAGAAGGGAGGGCCAATGGCCAGGGAAGGAGCACCCTCTGCCCGCCTCCTGGTCGCATCGCAAGGCTCAGCACCAACCCCTCAGAAGCTTGTCTTGCAGAGCCTCCTGGGGATGTTCCCCGGACCCTGGGGAGGCATGTGTCCGAGAGGGAAGGGACACAGCACCGTGGCCTCAATTCACAGTCGGATTTCCAGACTCAAAAGATTACAGAGCAGGTTGGGGCAGAGCCACGGGTGGGGCTCGTGGGTCCCAAATCCCACCCGGAGGAGAGGCTGGACATGGCGCCTGCGACCCCAGTCCAAGCCGCTGAACAGAGCACTTGAGGGGACCCCAGGCGGCAGCGGAGAATACTGGCAAGAGCCATTCGGAGGGAGGGACACACGCTACCCGCTCTCCCACCCAGGAGCCAGCCCGGTTGGGGCCTGGTCTATCCCTGCAGTCACACGGGAGGGAGGACGAGGCAGGAGACAGGGACAGACAGTCCAGGGCTGAGCGCATCAGAGGAACAGGTGTCAGGCCCCGCCCTTCTCCACAGTAGCGCACTCCACCCCTGCCAGGCAGGAGACTTGCGGGACCCTGATTTGTCTCCCGGACTCCAGGCTCAGCCCTCCGGGGGCCAGTTCACAAGCGTTCTCAAGGCTAGGCTCAGGCTGGGCTGGTTTTGCCCCAAGCTGTCATGTGCTCAGGTCCCCTGGCACTGCACAGCTCATGCCCTGGAACCCAGGGTGGGTCTCAGAAGACCGACCTTGGCTTTCGGAGGCTGAAGGCTCTGGAGCCAGGGTGGACCCTCCAAGGAAGGCCTGGAGCCCACCACAGTCCAGCCTCCAGGCAAAACCCCAGGGCCTTTGGAGTCCAGGGTCCCCAGCTTTGCTCCTGGAAGTACCTCCTTCCCCAGGGCTGTCATCACTCTGCCTTCTAAACCCTACCTCAAAGGCCCCTCACCTCTTGATCTACCTCCTTCAGGCCTATCCCAGATCCTAAGGCTCTTGACTAAGCCCCATGATGCCTTTTGGCCTGGCCCACGCCTCTGCCTTCATCCCAGCGCCCACTGGTAACTGTCAAGGCTGGCTGTCCAAGCCTCAATCTTTCCAACCGATCCTTGGAAAGACTGAGAATCAAGGAGCTAGGACAGCAGCCAAAGCTCTGAATGACCCTTCGCCCAGCCTGGGAGGGCCTGCAGGGAGGGCAGGGGAAATAACAGACCCTACAGCGGCTCGCGGAGAGAGCCAGCTGCTGGCTACTAGCTCCACTCAAGATCTCACGGTCTTCACGAATCCAGGAAGCCAAGTCCAAGGACACCCAGCCCAGAGATGCCATCTTCTCCCCTTTGATCTTCTAACAGTCAAAGAATGTGCCATTCTAACCCAGCTCCAACCAGGCCCGGTCTAGAGGGATGGTGGCCCTGACAGCCACCTCCCAGCCGCCACCCTCCTGCCTTTGTGACGTCAGAGCCTGGCTGGGCGCGGCTGCACATAGACCCTTCTAGGTAAGTTACTGTGGGTCAGAGTTTCCATGGTAAAGGGATGGGCTTCCTGAACAGACCGAGGCCAAAAGGGAGGGCCCTTTGGAGCAGCTTGGCGCTGGGAGGGGTGGACGTGAGACCCCACACTTCTGCTCTGATGCTTACAGCTCATCTCCGCCTGGCAGCTTCTCCCATCAGAGGCACCCTCAGCCAGCCTCGACGGGTACACAGGAGCCACTCCACACGCCACCCCTGATAGGAAGGACCACAGAGCATTTCTTGCCCCTCTTAGAGCTCACATACGATCAGTTCAGGGATCTGAGGACACCACAGCCCCAAGAATGGGAGGGCGAATCCGCGGAGGGTACCCCGGTCCCCTTAGCTAGGCTGCATGGAAATCGAGCATCTGCCTAGCCTCTTCCTCATGCCCAGAGTCTGCCCAAGCGGCACCCCTAGGCATACACCAGTATCAAGAGCTTCCGGCTGATGGAAGGCCGGAGGATGCCTTGATTCCTGATCTCTGACAGCGTCACACTCCTCTCCACCAAAGCCCAGGCTTCCCTGAAAACCTCTTTCCCAAGTCAGCTAAAGTAAGGCCACCTCCCCTGCTGGAGGGCTCCTCTCTGTCCTTAGCCCCTCGCTCCAGTCTGCTTCCTGAGTGGAGGGCCTGGGCTTCCTTGTGGGACAGACGGAGGTCTAAGCTCAGGCTGTGTGCCCCAGGGGAAGTTACTTTGCCACCCTGAGCCTCCATTCCCTCAGGGATAAAGCAGGGATGGTGACATCTGCTTCCAAGGATGAGTGCGATTCCACTCCATCTCTCTCTCCGGTCCTCTGCCTCTGGGCTTGAAGATAGGGCCCTTCCTGAGTTCAGTCAATACCAGCCATAGATGTAAGAGGGCACTAGGGAGAAGCCCAGGTGACGAAGGGTCATCCAACCCATGACCTCTGACCTTTCCCCACCTGTCACTCACGCAGCTCCTGTGGGAATCCAGTTCCCTGGCTCCCAGGTGTTGGGGTAGATTTAAGGGATAGAGTCCTGACTTCTGACAGAGTCCAAGTCCTGAAACAAGGATGGGGACCGAAACAGGGGGGCTTCCAATCCACTCCCTGCTCACTGTCCCTCCAGATGCCCTCCTGGGGTCCTCCAGTGGTTAAAGGGGACAACAGGCCATCCCATCACCGACCTTTCCAGCATCCCCATCTTGGACCCTCTACCCGGAAAGGCCATCCCCACTCGTCCTTATCAAACTGCTTCCACAGCATCATTTTCCGAGGAGAACATCTCTGCGTGGCTGTGAAGAGCCTCCGCAGTTGTGGCCACCCCTGCCTCCCGCCGGCTTCCTACAGATACACACATCCTCGGAGCAGAGAACAAGCTAGACGAGGCTCACTGGCTCCCAGAGCCCACACTGGGCACCCCGGGGCGCCTTCTCTCCAACCCTCGGCCCACGCAATCCCCTGGGAATCCCAGGGTCCAGCTCCTGAGACCCTGGACCCACTGCTAAGCTCCCACCTACACACACACACACACACACACACACACACACACACACACACACACACACAGAGGCAGACAACCCTGACAGTGTACTTCCAAGTCGGAGTTTCCCTAACAATCGCACTCAGGCCCCTCCTCCCTGCATCCTCTGGGATGCTGGGATGCTGTGGCCTGCAGGGCAGGAGAGGCGGAGTTGGGTCCATCCTGTTTCTCCTGCCCCCACCCCCCTTGCTGTTTATCTAGCATCTCCAGCCAGCAGGGCTGAGGTGGGGAAGGGGTGAACGGGCCGTGCCAAGATATGGGTCAAGCTTGCCTCCTAGGCCAGAAGTCAGGGACGTCTCCCGGGGCGGTGCATTCCCCACAAATTATTGGCTGCAAGAACGCTAGCTAGCACAGTCTCCATTAAGCCAAGAGGGCTGGCGGGCTTTGAGAGAGCAGGGCTGCGATTCCTCCCGGCTTTGCAGCCCCATCTCGCTTGGGCTGAGGCAAAGGGAGGGCTGGCGTCAGGGAGAGCAGCGCCAATGGCAGATTCGCCCCTCTGGAGTCCGCCCAAATGCCGTCCTCAGACCCCAGCTAGAATTTCAGTCAAACCCCGTCAGCATCCCACCCACTTCAAGAGTCTCCAAGGGGTGGGGGCCTTGGGGGAGAGGGGGGAGAGCTGTCCCCTGAGCCGTCCCAGTGCCATCTCCACCCTTCTCTGGATGCGGGGAACGGAGGGGGTCACCTGGCAGAGGTCAGTGGGAGGAAGGGTGAGCAGGCTTCCTGGACCCCAAGGTCTTCTTTCTCCCGGCCCATGCTTCTGGCCGGGGAAAAATAACCAGACAGGAGCTGGCCACCACAGGTTTCACTCACGCGGGGCACAGCCACGCAAACGCCAGGGCGAGTTCAATGTTCCAAATAAACGTTTGTGCACAATCATATCAGAGCCCCCGACTGCCAAACACGCCAGCCTCTCTCCCCGTCCCTTCACCATCCTGACTGGGAATTCCGGAGCAGTTCTCGGAGCCCAAACAGGCACACGATCTGGAGGCGCCCACATGCAGAGGAGGGTGGGGAAAGGGGGAGGACGGCTCGGAAATGCCCAAAATGGGGTTGGAGAGGGCGCGAGAGGGAAGGGAGGGGGTGGGCGTCCATGACGGCCTCGACATGCTCAAAGTCTCCCCGCAGCAGCCAGCTCCCAACTTGTTTACTTGTCAGCGTGTTTTGCTGTTTCCAAACGGAAACGGTTAAACGTCTTGGTCTTGGCCGGGTGGCGATCAGCGCCTATCTGTCACCTTCCCTCCCGGCTAAGCACCGCCGCCACTGTTGCTGCCTCTGCTGCCAGGGACTCGAACCTCGTCTACTTTATTCCGCTTGAGCGTGGCCAAACTGTTGCTATTTAGTGGGGGGCAAAGCACTGGATTGGCACCCTCCGAACGAGACACAGCGGGCGGGTGTGGGGTGGGGGGACCGGGGGCGGGCGCTGGGCCCGCTTGCCCTCGCCGGCTGGGGTCCTCTCCCGGGAGAGGCACCTACGCATCACCCCATCACGCCTCGCCAGGGCCGGAGTCACCTGGAGACGCAGCCCGAGAGCATCTCCCGAGCCAGAGCGAGCCTGACGCGCACCCGGCGGGCGGCGAGCTGGGGTGGGCGCAGAGCCGGCTCCCGGCTGCAGGCAGCGGGCGGGCGAGAGGGAGCTGTGGAGCCCGGGGGAGGCGGGCGGGGAGCGGCCGCCTGACTTACATGGAAGTGATGTTCCTTGAGATGTCCGTGATGTTGATGCTGGCGTTCCCGGTGCTGTTCCCCGAATCCTGCCCTTCCAGGAGGGGGAAGAGGTTCCCATCGTCCGGCCGCCGGCAATTGATCTCAGTCTTGCTGCAGACACAATTTGCAGGGCAAGCCAGCACGGAGCCCACATAGTCCAGCCAAACGCTTCCCAGCAAGAAAATCCGCCAGAAACTACACTTGGCTGGGCAAAGAGAGACATCCATCT